GGCTACCATTCCCAATGACTGGAAAAAGCACCCAGCAAATCTCGCGCAATGTAAAAAGAGAAACAATTTAGGATGATTACTGTGTCAGACAAAGGGAAGAAGGCACAGTGAATTCGCGTGATTTCAATGTATTAGGCCTTGTTTTCATTTAAACCAATCGAATTGCTATCTGTGGTCAAGAGGGGGTCGTGTATGCAAATTACATCATCACTAACCATCTAGCCTTATCCTTCCAGGAGTGTCCGAGGACGCCTTCCTGGAAAATTGGCTATACAGTTGTTTATTGGGTTAATAAAAGCAATTTCAAAAACGTACTGTCAGTTAGTATAAGTGAGACCGGAGTGAGATCGGGTGAATATCAGTGCCACCAAAAACCATTTCTTACAGCATTAGTGGACCTACTGGTCAGAATGGAAGTCATATTGCACCGTTCACGTGTCACACAAATCGAGAATAGTGGAAGAACATTAAACTGTGGTTTAGTACCTAAAATCACTCGATATTAGTAAATTCTACGTCAATTGTGTGCTAACTCGGATCAAAACGTGAGATCCACGCAGTTATGGACAGGCTATCCGAGCTGGATCCGCTGATTTGTTCCACGTCAACAGTACATAGTATGTCACATTTGTCTGTGCCGTAGGTTGCCATCGTTCACTGAGATGGCAGCTTCTTGATGCATATCTTGCCACCACAAGGCCGTCAATCTCAAACTACTGGGAATGTTACCTGATTTTATTTGAGTAGAAGTCCACGAATTGGTTAGGAATAAAAGTTGGTTGCTCTACCCTCGCCTACTCCTTGCTACCAGGATAAAATAAACTAGAATCGTTTTGAAAAAAAAATTATCCACAGAAGAAGCGAAATAAATCTTCGCTTATGCATACTCTCTCCATCAAATACTAGATAATGATCATCAGATGAAAACGCAGATCAGCACAAGACAATGTAAAAATCTCTTCCATAAATAATGCGGAAATTTGTGAGCAACAAGGCAAAATAGGCAATATAATTATATGACCAACAAAATCCTGATCCACATGATGGTTTATTTCTGTCTATCTGACTGCTCTAAAAGGGAAGAAGAGACGTTCAACAAGAGTGGATAGAAGCATTTGTCACAATCATTTCAGAACGCGAAAAAAGATTCAATCATTTTCGACTAAACCTGTACATACACACAAATAAAGTATCACTATGTACAGACAGTGCCACTGTTCACCTAGTGATCCGCCAAAGCGGTGATTATGTCACTTTGACGGATGATCGACTTCTTCCCCTGATCGATCAGTAACTAATCACCTAATTACTACAACACTCTGTTTGCGTGGTATGAGTGAAAACCACAATGGAAGACGTAAACGGATACTAGACAATCGGAGAAAACGCATTCGCTACATTCGATGGATGAAGAGGAGAAAACTGGATTGCTACTGTTCCTATATATATAGTATTCAAACATAGACACACCCGCACATACACACACGTACAATTGGTAGACCGGAAGNGGGAGGGGCGGTTTAGAAAAACTGAACCCAGTGAGAAATGTTCTCGCGGTCTCGCCAGGACTGATGATAATCTAAAAAACGACCAATACTCATTAATCTTCTAGGTCAACCTTTAGTGAACAGGAAAATTATTCCGCACATGCATAATACGCCCCAAGTTTTGGGGCAGACCTATTTGTCAACCTATTTATCACTCTCGTTTACCGTATTTACAAGTCCAGCTTATCCGACCACAGTCGGCGAACATGGTAAATGATTTGTGGCTCCAAAACTGAGATTGCATTCATTTCTAACAGGTACATTTCTGAACTGAACTGGGAACACGAACGACATCACTAGTCAACTGATTAGTCCACCCGTGGCGAACAAAGGCCCCTGATCATTTCTACGTGATTTACACCACCCATTCGGTGCACACATATGATATTGTGATAGGAAATTTTGGAAATCAAGTAAGAAAGAATAGTAGTACCTTAATTTTCGGTCCGGAATAAATTGAGTGAGATATGGTGTTTACGGACACCTTGAATGGAGAAAGCCAGTGGTCTCATATCCACTTGGGTGGAAGGTGTGTACTCTACCGGTGACATGCGATATGCAAATGGGTCATTTCACCCTAACTGGATGGTGATGATGATGATAATGATGGTGGTGCTATTGGTTGCTGGGGTAAGCAACTGGCTTTTGTAATACAATAACCGAAGTGATAGCAATGGTTTTCTATCAGTCGATTTGCTTCCCGGGTAGAATGTGAAAATGTTCACTCCAAGCTTGCATGTCGACCGTTATTCATGTTTAAATATTTTCCGCACAACTTCCCAATCTGCATCCCGGAGATTATACTTCGCAGACATACTATTGGTATTCTCTCCATTTGTGAATT